CCTGCACTGGAGTTAAATAAAACGCCCCCAAGATATTAGACAAATCTTCTCGACTTTATTTTGTAGGAAGAAACCGGATGTTACAATGTACGGATTTTAGATCATGGTATATTGGCTTATATACCATAATGGCTAAGCCTATAAAAAGTCTTGAATTGCATTATCCAATGATCCAGTTTTAAATAATGTAAATTAGAAAATTTAATTGATAGTCCATAAACATCCGTGTAATTTCTTAGTTGCTGTATCAGTATAAGGTCTATGGTAACTGAGGGCCACTGATTTGTCACTGCTTAATCTTCTTTACGTTTGTGTTTTATCCTTTTGAATAAATTTTTTATTTTCACTGTTAATTTGAATTGCCCCTGCTTTACTGGCAGTGTCACTAATTTGAAAATATCTTTCACACGAAAAAAACTGAAAAAGACTGAGTTTTGGTAAATATGATACTTAACTTCCTTTTCTAGTTTGATACTTTTTTCAGAAGTTCTGTGACTCGGTTATTGCGGCCTCCCCAGGCAACAATCATGAACAGTTATCGAGGGCCATCTGGTGTAACTGAGTTTACAAGACATGCATTTCAGTTGCAGAGAAACGAGTGGCCTCTTTGAAGTACACAGCATCTACGATGTAACGATAACTACTCTCCAATTTTCCTTTTCACTGTGTTATTTACATCTTTTTTTTAATCAACAACACTATTTTTATTTGTATAAGAATTTACAAAACGACCTTTTCTTTATCCCTCGGATATTTCTAAGTTACGCTTTGCGCTATATCGATATTGATTGCCATGGAAACGATATTTGAAGTCAATCCGTACAGTCCTCTCATGTGTTTGGCATATTTTTGTAAAATTGGACACCTGTTTATGTGTTTACCTACTTTGCGCTTCTTAAAAAACCGAAAAATCCTGCAGATCTTCGTAAAACAAAAACAATAAGCCTCCTGTCCTATATTGTCAGTTTTTCACTGTGATCAAACTAATTATTTTTCTCTCTCTCTAAACTTGAACTGTATCACCCCCAGTTAACAGCAAAACATTAAGCACCTTAAGTGAAATATATAAGAAGAGAGAATTGTTAAGGAAAAACAACATAGGGCTTGTATCGTTTTGAAATTTAACTAACATTGTCGTGAAAACAGAAAGGTTAAAATGCTACTTCTTTCGATTAATTTACGCTAGTATTATTTGTCTTCGGTCATTAATTTGTAAAACCACGTTAAAGCTAATGTCGACCACTGTGGCAAACAGCAATAGAACTTTATTACATGTTATTCAAGGACGATAATTATTGCTTTATCTCTTTTTATGCTGTCACTCAGTTGAATATAGGACCGGTTATTTAAACGAGGTCTATCCCAAACCGCAGTTTTACGCAAGTACTGGGCCTCAGGTATTCTCTATCAGGGGGTTTATTTGATTAGATGAATGCGGTTCCACTGTTAGCTTTCGGCCCTCTTGACACTGTTCACAATAATAAATGTTCAGATAAAAGGTTCGGCTAAATTGAAGATACTCTAGAACGCCGTTTTGTCAAACAAAAGCTAATCTTTATTTGAACTACCGGCCCATAGTGTTTCATTTATCTATCGATAAGTTCGTTTGAAATACAATGTTGCCTATCTGATGGCTACCCAATACGTGAATCAAAGGTTTAGAAATATCTTGACCCAGGTAGATGCAAATTGGATTATAATTTCCGTTGAAGTCTTGAATTACTTTTTTAGGCACGATGGTGTTTTAAAAGCCTGAGAAAGTGTTATTTAAATTGGTTTAAATAGAGAACGTCACACACGCACATAGCTCAGTTCGCAACAGTTGCATCTGTCAAGTTATGTCGCATGAAACATCTTTTTTTTTAAATGGTAGCAGAGCTAAATATCATTAATGTCAATAGCCTTGGTCTATAGATGAAGAATCCAACCAGGTTAAACAAACTGTACGGTTGAAGTTTGTCCGAAGACGTAAACACAGAGTCTGTTCTTCGAATATTGTTTCGAATTTTTCAGCTGAATGATCTCGATTAATCCGGTCGGATCAACCATATAAACTGTTGTCACGAACTTCTCCAGATAAACCTGTGATAAAAGCCGTTTATGTACGTGTATTGAACACCCAGACAGCCCATTCGCTTCGCCTGATTCCAATGATTGTACAGCAGCGCGTCAGTTATTCCTTGAAGTTTTTCATGCCCCATTCCATTGCTTAGTAGCTTTTCTGTCCAACCGTAAACTAAACTCCAAGCATCACGTTCGTGTAATGAAGTGGAGACTTCGAGAAGACGTTCAGGTCCTGGTAATAAATCGTTCCAGCTCGACAAAGACCACTCACCGTAATGCCTTGATTCATTTCCCGACATCGTGTTGACCAGCCTAAATCGGGCCCTTTGCGTTAAACAGTGACGGCTCTCACTGACAAATTCTCTGTATATTTAATCAAGCGAATGTGACATAATTGGCATGACGCTTAACCTTCGTTAACCGAACACATTCCGGAAATAGCCGAGAATGGACAGAAAGTGTGACTATCCCGTGATTTGATGTACTTCGGAGGATTACCGACTAGGTATCGTCAGATTCGACTTCGTTCAACAAGTATTATTAGCATCAGCCACCATGCAAAACAAAATAGTGAAGCAAGAGCCTTCATAGACCTAAAAAAAATTTATCTAATATTTTGTATTCAATCACTGACAAAAGTCAAAGGCGTAACTGCCCCATTGCTCATGCAATAAAACTCAGTGTCATTTGTTTCTCTCAAACAAAGACTTGCAAAAGCTTTACAGAGGAAGTTTACAGACATTTTAAAGGCTTACATGACCAAAGGGTGGAACTTTTCTCTTCTTCTGTTAATACTTTTCGAAGTATAGCATTCCTTTTTTAGAGCCGACAACATTGCTTTGTTTATTTCCTTCTTTCTTAAGGCAATGTGTTAATTCTTCATGTTTTGTACAATTCAAGATGCAGATGTGAGATTGTTTGATTGTTGCAAGCTTACACTTGAAAACTGATAGTATTGTCTTCCAAGGGACCTCTTCTTGTTGACCTTTGTAAAACGGACACCTTACTGCGGTCACCTTGTTTTTTCTCTTTGGAGTGTGTTAAGGAGGTTGAATGTATGGCGATAGAAGGTTAAGGCTCAGAATTTTAATTATGAATAAATTATTTAATTATTTAGAATTTTGTATGTATGTATGTATGTACGTACGTACGTACGTACGTATGTATGTATGTATGTATGTATGTATGTATGTATGTATGTATGTATGTATGATTGGGTTCTGTTTTCCCCGGAGGTTGGACCAGCGACCAGCAGGCCCAGCGACCAGCAGGCCCAGCAACCAGCAGGCCCAGCGACCAGAAGGCCCATCCTTCCCGCTCGGCACTACCCCCTTTGATCCCGGGCAAGAAAAAAGTGCGTGGAGTGTACTTACAAAATTTTTGAACTTTTGTACGATGTCGACGATGAAGACGAGAAAAGGGGCAAAAGACAGTCAAGACAACGAAGACATAAATGACGCTCGTTGGTTTATTGTGCTACAAACGCAAAACAAGTCATTTGCATTCTCGATTCTTATTAAACCAAAATATTTTCACCAGCTATATAATAAATCCTTTGTTGACATAACTTGTTCGGTCAAGATGGCTGGTTATTAGCCGCGTTCTTATGGACAATAGAAACGCAAATAATTATATAGGAAAGAACTCGGCCAGTGTCGGCAAATATCCAACCCTCTTGTTATACTCTTTGAAAGATTCTGCGAGGGACTGGGACTAGTGTAGCACACTGAGAGTTTCACGTACATAGTTCGTGTAGGTGGACATCCGGTAAGTTATCTCCGCGTCAGGCTGAATAACAACGGCAATATATCCTTTTCTTTCTCAGAAAGAGGAGCACTTTAAGTAAATCAATATGGATTCGGGAAAGAAGAAGAAAAGAAGAGCGGTCACCGATCTCATGGAGTAAGTTGAAACGTGAACTATGTACAGCTTTGTCATCTTTGCACTCGATGGTCTACTCTAGAAAAGGGGCCAGATTTATCACTTAGGGAAATGTTATTGGCCAAAATTATGGGGTTGGTTGTAGCTGAGAACCGATTTTTAAATATTTTTATATTGAGCTCTCTGAACAGAGTGGAAATTGTCACATTACCTCTAAATTTGATTAAGTTAAATCTAACACTTGGGTTTATGGTTTGATTTTTGAGGCCAAATTATTTTGCCAGACCTCGCTCGGCAAGCCTAGTGGTCATTGTTAAGTTATTTCTTCACGTTTATGTGCGGATGTATGGGCGAATTGACGCCTCAAACAGGTCCTACGGTTGCCAACGAATGAGGGAAACCAGGGCGAATCGATTGATCTGTGCTATTCATGTGTATGCCTAACGGTTCAGAAGATGGCTGTTAGGTTTTGATAACAGCTCTCTTTCTCCTTAACACCATTGTTCTTCAATAACCCATCGGGTATTCCCAGTCCTACAGTACTTCTTCCCAGCTGGTTCCATTTTGTACCATCATGATTGTATCTGGTGAGATTATTGTTCACCTTTGTTATCCAGTAGCTGTTTAGGCCCCTTCCTTGCTTTCTATTCCCAGGGGAGGGCGGTCTAAAATACAGCTACCAGAAATCAGCAAGGAGCCAAGTTTAGTCTGTAAGGAGAGGATTTCCAGTGCTGATTGATGGGAAATTATTTTGAAAAGTCATTTTATTCACCTAGTTACTTTAAGTTAATTTTCAGTTCTTATGTTTGTTTAAATCTTTGCTGTCACTTAGAGTAAACATTTTCATTTTGAAAGCCTTGATTTTATTTTGAATGAAATTCGAAGATGAAGGTGAAAGCAAATAATTAAAGTAGTTTGGATTGCAATGTAGCCATAGGTGTTTGTTGGGAGCACTGTTTACATGGAGGACTTCTTTTGCTAACCTGGGTCTGTCTTATTATTGCAGTGATGAAAGTGATGCAGAAACAATTGATGGAGATGGAAGGTATGCATGTGATTAATTTTATCATATGATCACGAGTCCCTGCTCACCCAATCTTCCAGAAAACTATAATGAAAGCTGATCTGTGTAAGGCTAAATGGGTTGATAAGAACTGGTCTGAGAAAAGTTGTCCCAGCCTACACTTGTGAAGCTTAGAAATGAGAAGTAAAATTTGGTTTTTCGAATGAATTGTGAGTTTCTTGTTCAGACTCAAGAAAATAAAGGATAATGTTTTATTTTAGTATCTTTTTTGTGCACCACCCTATATATTGCATCCTATTAAGCGTAAAACAAAATTTATGGAATTTGCAACTCTTATTTTTTCATATGCTAAAATGTCTATTGACTAAGTTTGTTTGGGCCGGATAGGAAAACATTTGGCTCTTAGTCATGGTGCACAGAGTTTGTTATTTGTTTTTTTTTATTTTTGTTCTGTTTTGTTTTTTTTTTTTTTTTGGCACTGTTTTTTTTTTTAATTCTAAAATAAACTCCATACAACAAGACATTTTTGTTTTAGTGACACCAATCCTTCCAGCAGTGGAGCCTTCCTTTAAATTATGAGGATATTTGCTTTGATAACAAGAATTCAATTGTTTGTCTGTAGGGATGGTGATGATCAGAGAAAAGGATGGCAAAAGACATACACAAAGTAAGTTGTGATTGAAATTTGCTTTAATCATTCACCAACTTTCTCGTCCTTTGGAAATATATGTTTCATCAACTTTTGCCTCTTTGAATACATTGATCTCATTGAGTTATTTTCAGAATTTGTAAAAGGGATCTTTCTGTTCTCCAATTGATTGTATTTTTTTATAGAAAATAGTCAAGAGTTTGGTTCCTGGGGTTTGGAATCATACAATGTTTTCTTTCCTGATAACTCCTAAGAAATAAGGCTAGATATTCTTGATAAATGTTTAACAATTATTTCACGAGCGTGTGTTGGATATGAGATGATAGATAGCCAACGAGGCGTGTAGCACTGAATTGGCTATAATCATCTCATATCCAACAAGTGCGAGTGGAATAATTGTTTTATTAAAAGAAACCGGATGTTGTAATGTACAGATATTAGTTTATGGTATATTGGCTCATATATCGTAATGGCTAAGCCAATAAAAAGTCTTGAATTGCATTGTCCAATGATCCAGGTTTTAATAAATTGAATGAAACCTAGTACCTTAAAGGTGTCTCACAGACTGTTTGATTAACTTGCTGTCCTTCTTTGATATACAAACAGGCCAAACCACAGTGAGATAGAGAAGAGGCGGAGAGATAAGATGAACACATACATCAATGAACTGTCAACAATGATCCCCATGTGTAACGCCATGTCACGCAAGCTCGATAAACTGACGGTGTTGAGAATGGCTGTGCAGCATATGAAGACCTTGAAAGGTGATAAGAACTTGAAGTCTTTTTCCTTTCGTAAAATAAATTTTCTACATGTACCATGTTTCTCCCTTTTATTTTCTGACCCCTTTGTGTCCGTGAGAAATTGGGTCAATCCCAAAACAAGCAGTAATAGCACATTTTCTCCAACAACCTCAAGATGTTGGAATCACCTCCGCCCCTAAGCTAGGTGCTTCTCAATTTGTAAATACTTTGAAGAATGCTTTGTATAAATGTTTTAAATTAAGTCAGCTTAGGAATAAGATTTTTACTCCTTTTTAGATAATTTATTCGTAGATCACATGAAACGAGCAATATGTTTTACCTTTCACTTTTTTAGATCTTGATCTGTTGTGCATTGTGAGTTTTAATTAGGTTTTAATTAAATTCTTAATTAAGTTATTAATTACAATAGGTTTTTTTTAAATTGCAACAATATTTATAGAGGGCCACTAGTTCATTAGTGTCACCCTCTTTAAACAAGTTTGATTGATTGATTGATGGAATAGTGAATTACATAGTCCTGCAATGGTCAATTAACCAATTACCTGTAAACAAAAGTGCAAGATACAATATTCACTTTCTGCCTCACTGATGTACTTTTAAGGAGACTGACATTATGATCTTAATCTTGCAGCAAGTCAATACTCCACTTAAGAATGACATCTGTAGATAAGCCAAGGCTTACTTGGGGAGACTATAACTACATTGTTCCAAGTTAAGAAGAGGGGAGGGAGGCTTTGTTTGTGGAAATTGGGTGGGGCCAAAGTCAAGGCAAAAGTGCAAGTAAAAAAGTGTAACAGTCACAAGGAACCAAAACGCAACCCGCAATACATTTTCACCTTGTAGCAGTTCAGACTTCTGTTAATCACAATAAATACAATTTCATTAAGTTGTGTGTGATACTTTATATTTCAGGAGCACTTGACCCTTTCACAGAAACAAACTACAAACCAGCTTTTTTGTCTGATGAAGATTTAAAGAACCTGATTCTTGAAGCTGCTGATGGATTCCTTTTTGTTGTTGGATGTGACAGGGGATGTCTTCTTTATGCATCAGATTCCATTCAGAATTATCTCAATCAGGCTCCTGTAAGCTCTTTTCAATTCAAAGTGAACATAACCCAATCACATAACCTTCTCAAGAGCTCAAAACTTCCAGTTTTAACAAGACCCAAGATGGACCTTTAACTGCATGGAACTCAATTTTCCTCTGTCTTGAGAGAGAAAGCATGAAACTTAATTAGGTTGAATGAAAGAAGAGAATCTTAGCTGTCATACTAGGCCTTATTCAAAATTTACCATTTTTCAAGTAAACGTCGAGTGTGAGGCAAAAAAAAAAAAAACTTAGGTTACCACACAACCAACAGATGAGGTTCAATTTTGAGTTTAAATCGTAGCTGTTTTGGGTTTGGGTTTGGTTTAACATGGTCTGTCTCTTTCTCTTTGAACAGTCTGATCTGGTAGGGCATAGTTTCCTTGATCTTGTGCACCAAAAAGATGTTAACAAAGTCAAAGAACAGCTGTCGTCCTCAGACACAACGCCTCGTGAAAGACTGATTGATGCAAAAACTGGTCTTCCACTTAAAACAGAAAATCAACCCACGCCAACGCGACTGTGTTCTGGGGCTAGGAGATCATTCTTTTGCCGAATGAAATGTGGATCCAAAGGGAAGAAGGGAAAAGACAGTTTGGATCCTGAACCATGTCTGATGAAACGTAAAAGCAAAAGCAAGCAGGCTGCTCAACCTGACAAAAAGCCATATGTCGTAGGTTAGTGTGACGTGTGCATCGTATTTCAGTTGTTGTGTGTAGCTTAGAGCTCATTGTCTCGTAAAATCAAACCTTATAGTACAATGCCCTTATTGACTCAGTAGGAAGACTGGAGAGGAAAATATTTGGCTTGATACGCTTGGTCCATACGTCATGACTGGCCCAACCTAACTCAATAACCTAATTATTGAGCGGTTAGTGCACATTTTATCGTATGACGGCCACTCAGTTCTCTTTCTTACTCTGTCTATTAACTGATGAACGAAATGTATAAATTTCTGATTAAGTGTTCCAACACTTATTTTGTTTTTGTGCATTAGTTCACTGTACAGGATACCTCAAATCATGGCCGCCCTCAGGAGCTTCACTTGACGACGACGACGAAGACAATGAATCAAGAAATCTCAGTTGTCTTGTAGCAGTGGGAAGATTGGAAACAATATATGACGAAGCAACAGATTTCTCTCAGCCGGGAATTGCCAAAGAATTCATCTCACGTCACAGTATAGATGGAAAATTTATCTTTGTTGATCAGAGGTGAGTTCGAAACATGAAGCGCCCTGTCCTCTCCCATGACTGGAACTCTTCGTATACATCTGTGGTATACTTGTGGCATTTTCTATGTTGTTGGCTAATGTAGAATGTGAAGTTCAGATTAAAGTGAAGGTTTTCTGTCAATTGTTACTTTGATTTAACTCAGTGAACAAATCTGTGTGTGTGTTGTGCACTAGAAAACAAGGGCAAGTTAACGCTTCTTGTTTAGAAGAAGGGCATCGACGCTGGTTGCAAGGTGACTGAGCGGTTAGTGCACAGGACTCTGAACCCTGGTCTAGGTTGGAGCCTGGGTGGGGTCGCTGTGTTGTGTTCTTGACGATGCCTCTTTTCACTCGAGGGTATAAATAGTAAGAGGAGAAGTCTGATAAAATGCAGAGGGGAATCCTACATTGGACCAACTTTCGGTCTGAGGGAGCACTTCATGTTTCACTTCATGCCACTGAATACTGGAGTAATCTACAACATGATCAGCTTTTTGGCTCTAGAGCTGACTTCACGTTTGCCTTTTGCAGAACTACCGCCATAACGGGCTATCTACCTCAGGAGCTCATAGGAAGTTCTGGTTATGAATATTTTCATCAAGAAGACCTTAATTCAATTGCAATTTCCCATCGTCGAGCACTTCAGGGGGAGATTACTTCAACTGATGTGTACAGGTTCCGATGCAAGGCAGGTCACTATCTTCCATTACGCACCTGCTCAAATGTCTTCCGAAATCCTTGGTCAAAGGAGCTGGAGTTTCTAGTTTGCGTTAACACTGTGATCACGTTAGTAAAGCATATTGAATCTCCTATCGTTCGTTCATTGTTGTTAAGTTCATTTTAAGATACTATGCAACGTTACTTTTTACTTGCTCATGTTTCCAGGGAAATTTCCATGTAACTTAATGAAAGAGGTCCATGTTTGTCATGAAGAAGAGTCATTTTTTAATAATTGTGTCTCGCGTTCCAAGTCTAGGTGCCGATTGAATTTGCAGTACCCCAGCGGTAGAATCAGCGAATGTTCCAGGAAAAATTAAATCTGAAAAAAATTCTTTTGTGGGATCTTTGACATCACTTTCCCCTATGAAACTGCTAGGAAGGACAAGAAAAGTCTCCCAAGGAAAGTTCATGTTATTTGTGGTGGCCTTAATCGAGCTGTGTTTTGTCCCTAGGGGTTTGGAGTCAATGGCATTGCCTCTGGCAGCTCCTCCTTCTGATGTTTCATGCACCAGTTTGCAGCTTGCAAGCAGTGTGGGATCTGGGTCTTCAGCTCAAACTGAGAACATGGCTGGAAAGACAAGCGTACAGCAAGTGTTAGAAATATTGAAGAAACGGGGGCAGCAAGTAGATTCAGGTAAACCCTTGTCAAGAGCACGAATGTGTTTCACCTAGGGGTTTTTTTTTTTTTTTTTTGAGCATCTAACTGAGTTTGAAAATGCTCCCAATTTTTTAAAGTGGTGTTTGGTTCCTTGGAAAATTTCTCTTGCATTCCAAGTTTGATATCTTTGAAATCGAGTTAGGAGGACTGGCTCAAGTTGATTAAGTCCAGAGGTAGCGGGGAATTAAGGAGAAAAATATTAGAAAAAAGTAGGAAGTCATCATTTTGCTTTCATTCTTGTGAGTTGTTTCAAATACCAATTCTTCTCACCTCATAAGTTTCTACAAATGTATATTTTAGTTGTGTAGTGGGGCATTTTTAAAACATCACTTCAAAAGGATGAGACTTCTCTTTTCCTCTGTTGAAATTTTCGTTTATTTTTAAGTTTCAAGAGTTCAATCTTCGCCCGCAGTCGTGACCTAGTTGTTTTTTTAATTCCTGAAATAAGTTCTGTGGATCATAGACTACAATCCGTTCGGACCATCTCGTGTAAGGCTATGAACTCTTCCCGCCCCGTGTTGTTTCTAATTCTTTTTTTTGAGTTATGATGGCCAGACGACTCAGTCGGCGTATGGAGTGTGTTTTTTTAGATTTGGAAGGTGGAATTGGTAATAAAGAGTCAGAATCTCTGTCTATTATGTACTCGGAAGCTTTTAAATGAATTTAAAACGTTTTGCTCTGTTGAAGGTATTCAGTTTTCAGTAGTTTTTTTCTTCAATGCGATTAAGAAGCAATTGAAAGGTTAAATCCTTCATTTTAGGGTCCATATCAGCTGGCAAGAAGAGTCATGAACTTGACGTTGCCATGGCAAATGTGGGAAATGCAGGAGCGAGTCGTATTGGGGCTATTGTGGCCGAACAAGTTCAAAACCAGGAGACGCAAGATAGGTGGGTCATGTCCTTGTTATTTAAAAACCCTTTTTTTGAACGACTCCCCCGTCCCTCTAGTGATAGTAAGATTTTGGAACCATATTGCAAGGAAAGTTAGCTTGCATTAAGGTAAGTTTAGAAAATTAGGGATCTCGTTACAGAAGTAGTCCTGGCCGGTTTTTTTCTTTGCCGGCCCGTACATTAGGCTTGTCTTCAATAGGGAGTCACTGACTGAGGAGTCGGAAGTGGCTGCTGTGAAAGGGCTATCCACTCTAGACGAGTGCCAAATTTTGCGGCAGGCCCCTTTCCCGCTGAACCCTCCCGTGGCAGGCCCTTTCCCTCTGAACCCTCCCGTGGCAGGCCCTTTCCCTCTGAACCCTCCCGCGATCTGAATGGCAGTACCTCTCCCTTTCAGCTGCTATTTGTTTCCTTGTCAACAATTTTAAAAAAATTCTAGGAAAAGGTAGGACTCGTCTTTTACTTTCCATTGTTTTAAGGGAATTCCAGTTCGGAATACCAGCTCTTAACCAACCGAATGAGGGTCTTCCATCTAATACGGGTGGTGTGAGTACGATAAACATTGATGATATTTCACTGAACGCACCAAATGCCCCGAGAGTTCCGTCGACCGAAAGAACGGGCTCGCATGCGGGAGGAGCTGCTTTGGATAATCAGCGGCAGCTGTCACAGGCGCACTTATTGGAACAGTTGATCGGAATGCAGAATGCAATTGAGTCAATGGAAGCTCCCATGGAACAAAGCGAGGAAACTATGTCAGTTTTCATGAACATGCTTGAGGCAGACGCCGGCCTTGGAGGAGAATTCGAGAATTTATCCTAGAGCAGATAGACAACAAAACCTGCCTAGATGGTCAGCTAGTCTTGTAGAGTTACATCGGAACAAAAACGTAAAAAATACAGATCATCCCCACAACATCTTAAGAAATAACTGTCCTTCGACGTTAGTTCACGGATCTTAAGAATATATTTTGAGTAGCCTGCGATGCAGGTGTGCTATATGAAGGGTGTCACATGATCGCGATCAGTTCTTTAGGGTTTGAGTGAAGTCTTTCTCCAAAATACGCCCGAAATACAGGCCTTATTCTGAGTACATTTTTATAAAGTTAAGGTCATGTTTTGTTTCAGTTTTGTTTCATCCCGAAATATTAGAAAGGAGGTGGAATAACATCCTAAAACTGTTTGCCTTGTATATAATTTGTAGCTGTAGCCTTAAATAACTTTGGTAACAGGGGTTATCTATAATGTAGTTTAAAATTGAACACTCAGTCATGTTTGGTCTCCAACAGAGTACATTTTCAGTTTTGACAGACGCATATGGTTATTGAGAGAAACGTCGGTGAATAGGATGTTTCGAGTGGATTATCGCTGCCTATTGCTTTCATAAAATAGCTATGGGGTTTTGGGAAATAAACTAAAAGTGTTTGACTTATTAGAGAGCGCGTAGAATCTCATTGAGTCGTGATACAATGAGAAGACGTAAGTGTGCAAATTAGTCAAGGTTAGTGGGACTGAAGCCTAAGTGTAGGATTTGGGATGGTTCCGTCACAAATCGCCGTTTTGCACATGTATGCTTCAAGACCTAAGTGAAATAGCATAAAAGAACCAGAAAACAAGAGTTTCGTCGGAGTGTTTTGTTGACGAAGCGGTTCACGAAGTAGAGGTTCAAAAAGCGCGCAATTCTCTTAGCTGACGATATTATGCCTCGTGATGTACGGTGTAACCTAAGTTCTGGGCTTGAAATGCTGGCTTGAGCTGGTAAGTATGGAAGAATTGGTTGCAGGGAACTTACGGTGGGGAAACAGGACGGGCAACGAATATTTTCTTAGGTTGGATCTCTAATTGAGCAAGCAATCTGGCTTATAATTACCCTAGTTTCAAATATTTATGGTAAGTTATACAAATATCTGAAATAACAAAGGTATCGAGATCATCGATTCGTTACTTTGATTGCTTTTGCAAGAAATCGATTTCATTGCGTAATGGTGAGTGATTGACGTTCTTATACAACTGTGAGAATGTTTTTATTTTTAGTAAGATTATGATGAAATAGCTTGCGTAGCATGCAAGCATAAGAGTTCGGTTAGGTGAGGGGTAATGGACTATTGAAATAATGTGTTACATTCCCCTAATGGAGGAGGGTACTGTTTTTTTAACTTAAGCAATGAAAGGGAAGGAAATATGGAGGAAAATCAAGATCAGCTCAATATATTTTCAATCAAATGATTAATAACAATTTATTACACGACTCGGGCAGTCAGAGGGCCAATAACTAAAATCAACCAATCAAATTGCTCTATTGCCGGTCCAATATTCTCTAAGTATTGGACCGGGCACTGTCCCGAATGGTCCCGAATCATGATACCGCACTTGTGTCCCTTTGAACTTCAGTCGTATAATAAATCTCTTATTAACCAAGCTTGCTTGGGACCGTACTCTCATATCATATCAATAAGCCCAAAT